AATCAATAATGATAAATACAAACAGATTGTCTGACAAAATAAAACAACAATTTCTGGGGAATGGAAACAGCACACTTGTCAGAAGCTGTCCACAAATAATTAATTACTTTAGCACATTAAAGATATTCTCTTAAGGGCCGGCCCGGTGGCGCACTGGATAGTGCGCCGCTTGGGAAGGGTTCAGATCCCACATACAGACCGGTTCCCGCTCACTGGCTGAGTGAGGCGCGGGGGCAGCACCGAGGGTTGTGATCCCGTTGCCGGTCCCCGGTCCGGTGCGGGGGCAACACTGAGGGTTGCGATCCGTTGCCGGACACGGAAAAAGACAAAAGACAAAAAAAAAAAGATATTCTCTTAATATTAGAGTCTTCTATAAGAGGATACTCATTACTTTCGAACCCTCTGGCATCACTCCTCTCCAAAAAACTAATTAGTGTTTCATCCAATCACACATTATAAATGAAGCAAATATGGATGGTAAAAACAGTTTAAAGAAGTTAACATGATAACATTTTGTAGTTTAAAAATCATGCGCTTCAGAACTAGCCTTTCGCATTCTAATAATTACACTACTTATTTTTCTCATCTTTTCATGATTAATTATTAGACATTAAGCTTAGAAAATTAAAGTTAAAAAAAAAAAACAACTTACAGGTAGTAGAGTTTTCCTGCAGCAGGGAGGTCCCTTTTCCGGTAATCTATCCCAGAATCCAGCTGGACCGTATTACAATATTCCTACAATCCAAACATAGAAAATGTATTTTTAAAACAAGTAGTGGCTCAAAATTATAATCTTTCTGCTATACTGTTTTTTTTATTTTTTGAAATTTTTTCTCAGAGTAATATAATGAGATTAGGACATTGATATTCCAACCATCAACACATGGAGCCTATGTCCTGCCCCTTAACTATTGTGACTGTGGTGGAAATGATGCTATTCAATAATATCCTATGTGACATTTAAGGCAGCTTCTTACTTGCTGACTAGAAGGTGTAGTGCTAGGTAAGCACATCCAACTGCCTGGAGGCCACCATGCAGTGAGAAAGCTTAAACTGGCCCATACAGAGAGCAGCCCCGAGAGACCCTGAGATGACGAGAAGATTGAGGTGTTGACCAGTCCCCAGTTGTCCCAGCTGTAGCCATAATCTTACTGAAGGAGTCAGAAATGTCAGCTGAGCCTTTGCCAAATCCCTGACCCACAGAAACCAGGAGACAGAGTAATGTTTTAACCCTCCAAATTTTGCCGTCATTTGTTATACAGCAATAAATAATCAGAACAGTAATACCTGGGCACACTTGAGAAGTAGCAACCTTCTTCTTTCTGAAATTGCACCCTGGGCTGTACTGCTATGCAAGGGCTGAGGGTTATTTATTATCTCCACTACTAGGTCTTGACTGTACAAAAAGGCAGTGTGTGAAGACCCAAAAAACTGGGATGGAAGGCTGGTGTAGAAATAGCATTTTGATTTATATAACAGCAACTGTGAATTTGATTAGTGTAAAATAATCCCCAAGAAGCTGATCCTCTGGAGAGGCCTACAAAGTTAAGCTTCTGAACCATACATGTGAAGAACAAGCCCTGAACCTAGCAAAGTCAGGGTTCCCTGCAATGCTGGGCCTGAGCAGCTAGCAGGTGTCTCTATACAGACTTCCCTAGTCATCATTCCAAGTTGCTCAAATCCACTCTCTAGGCCTCACTCTCAGGACCCAGGCCCTAGAACCCATCCCACCAGAAGAGAATACAGTATTGCCCAAATACCTGCACTCCACTCTCCCTTTGCTTCATATGTTCTGTGTAAAAAGAGGTATAGCCATATGTCTCCTTCTCAACCTTCAGTAATGTAGTAAACCTAGGAAAAGAGGTACTGCCTCCTCCTTACCCTCTGCTATAACTCTGGGGGCTCAGCCACCCAGTACAAAGAAGGAAATGCCCTTGTTCAGGAAGCACGTCTTACTTGGTCTCTCAGAGGGAAAGAGACTAAGGTATGGTAAGTGAGGGCCAATTATTCATAAGCTACCTATACTACAGACAATGTAATACATAGTGTAGCAATATATTCATACAAATGTATTCGCCCAGGTTCTCTACATCTTTTAAATTACAATTTACCTTATATGACTCAATATTCCTAATTTAATTAAAATTTTTTCTCATTTTTTTGCTATTAAAAAAATAAGGCTAATGGAAGTTATACAAGCTTCAATTTCTCTTTCTGGGCAACTAACTTCTCTATCATGAGTGATTAAGCCCTACCAAATGATTGCATTTTTACATTCACTAATCACCACTGAGGAATACCTAATCAGCAGCAGTAGAACTATAACCAAGCCCTTAGATGTTAGTACTTAATTGTCTGAAAAATACTAACACCCAGTTTATACTTTTAAAGAAAAATAAACCTCAAATTTTCAGATTTTATTCACTGACACTAGATTTTTCAAAACACTTTGCAAAAGGGTGGAGAGGGTGAAAGCTAAACTGTTTCCAAGTTGAGAGTGAATGCAGTCAAAAGGGCATGATCTCTAAGTAATATCCTAATTTCTAGGGATATTTACAAGACCTGTGACCTCTTATCACCATCCAATTCTAATGCATAACACTAATCAGCCACCAAATGAAATTTATTTTAAAATAGTTTGTATACACATGTATACAAAGGATAAATACAATTACAATCTAAAAATACAATTAGGAAATTTGGGAAGGAAGGGTGGAGGATAACATACCCTTGTAAGCATACTCATGAGTCAGAGGCCTTTGACTTTAGAAAGAAAAATATATGATTAAAGAACTGTATTACAGCAGTTTACATTGTCCTCAAGATCTATTGTGTGTATTTTTAGCAATTCAGAATAATATCAATAGAAAATTAGCCATCTCACAAAATAAATTTATATAGCTTCTACTCACTCCGTTCCCCACTGGAACGCAAGAATAATAAATATTTTGGAGAAAATCCTTTAAAACCACAACATATTAACCTCTTAAGCAAAGACTGAAATAATACATAAGGATTTCCCTACCTTAAATACTTTTTATTATAAAAATAATATTGCTTACTACAGAAAATTTGGAAAAGAGGAAAAAAACAACCAAACTTTCATACCTTATCTAAGTGACTATATTAAGTAGGAATGTAAAGGATGAAGATTATTAGAGTTTTCTTGGTAATATTCAAATGATTGGTTTTAGACATTTTTAATAAGTAAACAAACAAAAAAAAATGGTTGAGACTCGTTCCAGGAAATAAAATATTTAAATAACTAAAACCTATCTTTTTACTTAATTCTTAAAAAATGTATCTTTTTCAACTAAAAAAGTGATCCATGCTGGTTGAGACTCGTTCCAGGAAATAAAATATTTAAATAACTAAGACCTATCTTTTTACTTAATTCTTAAAAAATGTATCTTTTTCAACTAAAAAAGTGATCCATGCTCATTGCAAAAAATTCAAATAATACTAAATGTATAAAGGTAGAAGTGTAAGTCCCCTTCTATTTCCTTCTCAGAAAAAACTTGCTTACAGCTTATACAGTTCAAATTTTTCCTATACATATAGAGTTGATGAAAGATGATATAGATACATAGGCAGACAGAAAGATAGAGAGATATCCTATTATATATTCATCGTTCTAAGTTTAATTCTTTTTGATATCTAAAAGTTCTTCTCAGAAAAAACTTGCTTACAGCTTATACAGTTCAAGTTTTTCCTATACATATAGAGTTGATGAAAGATGATATAGATACATAGGCAGACAGAAAGAGAGATATCCTATTATATATTCATCGTTCTAAGTTTAATTCTTTTTGATATCTAAAAGTTCTATGAGAGAAAATAAGTATAGATTTAAATATAGGAAAGCAATGTTGCATATTGTACAACTTTGCTAAAAATACAATTCCATAAGTAAATGACAAATAAGAGCACAAGAAAGATACTGAACCCCCCAAAAAACAGTAGGAGACTGAGGGGGATGTCTCTTTATTTTTTATTTTTTTGAGGTAGCTGTACATTCTAAGACAACTGCTTGCAAAAACAGTGGGAGACTGGGGGGGGATGTCTCTTTATTTTTTATTTTTTTGAGGTAGCTGTACATTCTAAGACAACTGCTTGAGTCTCATTTAAAATAATCATATGCTACTACTTCTAAGCTTAAGCAATATAAAAATATTAATACATAAACTTCTAAATATTTTAAGCTTTTCATAATTTAAACATAACATAAATACAGAAAAGTACACAAATCATAAGTGTCCAGCTTGATCAAGAAATGGAACATTACCAGCATCTCTAAAGCCCCCCAGTATCACTTTCTACCTCCCCAAGGGTAATCATTATCCTGATTCTAGCACCACAGAATTTTGTCTGTTTTGGGAGCTTTATATAAGTGGAATCATACAGTATAGATTCTTTTATGACAGAGTTCTTTTATGTCCCACTAGTAGAGTGAGCATTCCTAACTGTTTGCTGCTGGTATACAGAAATACAATTGAGTTTTAAATACCAACTTTTGTATCTGTGGAAACTCTCTTATTAACGTAATTTTTTGTATATTGATTTTCAGGATGATACTAAAAATGTTTTATATATTTCATAAATATGCCACATTGTTTTATATCACAAAAAATGTGCACTTATGGTTTAACAAGTCTCCTCCAAATTACATATTTATTTTGGATCAACCTAACGAACATTCTTGAACACTGTATGCTGGTGCTAGAGATACAATAATGAATAAATACAGCTTTTCCCTGGTTACTAGAGATACAATAATGAATAAGATATAGCTTTTGCCCTTACACTCTAGTAGAATACAGATATTTGCCTCGAGTTATCATTTTCTTCCCCTCTCAATCATGGACATAATTTTTCAAGATGATGAATTGCTAAGTCCTCTGCCAACTGCCTAGCTGTGTGATTGTAGGCTGTTACTTAACTTCTCTGTATGTCAGTTTTTTCCTCCATAAAACAAAAGAATTGAATTATGATCCCTTTCAGCTCTAAAATTCTTAACACTATTGCTGAAGTTCTCTCACTTCAGGGCTCTTCAGGTATAAGTTCTTCTTTGGACTTAACTGCATTTTGGAGTAGACCCCAGCCTGAGTCTACCTCAAGCTACTTCAGGCTCCTTTGCTTTCTTGATCATCTCATGTTCTAAAGTAAATGAAAACTTCTTTTTTCTTACTTCCTCATTCCTACCTCCTTCGCTACCCTAGTTATCTCTCATATTTAAAATACCCATACCCTATCAACTTAATAGGGAAGATCTGCATCCCTTCTTTTTATCAAACTGTTCCAGAATTACTCTCTCCTTCCAAAAAGCAGGAAAGGAAGATATTTTACGATTGTGAAATGCTTATTATGTGCCTCAAATGTGCCAGGCAACCAAGTTGGACTTACCTCATAAAATCTCACAACTACCATACACAGGGCAAGGTAATAATTTTTTGTGTCCATTTTACAGTTGAGGTAACTTAGGATCAAGGAGGTTAATTTTTTTCTTTTTTCTTTTTTTAATCACTGTTATGGGCTGAAGTGTATCCCCAGAAAATTTATATGTTAAAGCCCTAACCCACAGGACCTCAGAATATGACTGTACTTAGAGGCAGGGGCTTTAAAGAGTTAAAATAAGGACTTTAGGGTATGCCCTAATCCAATGTGACAGTTGTCCTCATAAGAAGAGAATATTTGAACACAGATATGTGTGCAAGAGAAAGAGCATGTGAGGACAC